GCCAACCCGAAACGCGATCGCGATTTGGGTCGACCCTATTCCGAATTGGGTCAATTTCGATTTGGGTCAGAACATTATTATTATTATTATTATTATTATTATTATTATTTAATTAAGAATCTCGCGTGTTACATCAAGTTTCAGCAGAATTAAGGGATTTTCAACTTGGTGTTACGCGAGCTATAGAAAGTACAAGTAGGAAAATGAATCAATTTCATCAGATTGCAGATGGATGAGAGTGAAGCAAACTTTCATCCTGAAGGCATGACATCACAAGCAGATGAGGCTGGGGAGGTAGAGCCATAGGAGATTGAGTTGACAAAGCTAATGTGAATAATGACTGATGCTGTAATTTTATTGTGTAGGGCGACCAAGGACAAACTGGATCTACATTGCCAAGTAAGCCTATTTGATTAACTTTACCTTTTTATTGTTTACCATTTAAATAATGTATTTATCTTAATTATCAGCCAAGAAACAAAAAAAGAGTGAAGATAATGTTGCTAAGAAAAAGAAAAAAACTTCAAAATAGATGTTTGCAGTAATTACTCTTCAGTTACTTAGAATCTTGGTGAATATAGAATAGCAGATTTGTCATTGATATAAAGAAAATCTAGTTTAATCGTGTTATTATGTAGAATCGTCATAATTTGATTATTATTATCGGGATAGAACTATTACGACTATGATGTGAGAATTTGATTTTTGTTATGTCACGTCAGTTTTGCGTAGGTATTTGCGTATTAGTGCAAAGCCATCAATAACATATTGCTTATAATAACTAGACGTGAAAATTATGATTCTATGTTAAACTTATATCATTGTAAATCAAGCTTAGTAAAGATCCAATATTCAATTAATAAACCAACCAAGCAATGAAATTTTTTATTGGCATCAATTTAAATTGATTATGTAATCAAAGCAGAGAACTAGTACGAGTACATGTTGCGTACGTACTGTAGATGAAGAATAGCAATTATCATCTTACATGACATCAGTGTTAGCCAAATCATGCATTGGCAAACTAGGCATATGCGACAAACGGCGTGTTGATGAACAATGTCAACCAGTCATTTAAGACCTTATTCTTAACCACATAACGATCGTTTAATTCAGCACCCTATAAACTATTCATTAAATTAAATTGCAAGACCACCAAATTCTTCCACTATTTTAAGCCATCTTTCTCCAAAAACTCCCCATCAACCTTCACACCGCCTTCCCATGTGACTACTTGTCTCGGGACATCTCTCTCTCTCTCCTCAACGACATCTTCAACGCCTTTTAAACTCTCGTGTCCTTTCTCAAGTGTTCGAACCATCACATTATCGCACTCTCTTCTTCATCAACGATACAAACGCTATCAGCAATACCCAACACTTCTTGCATTTGTTGATTTCTTCCGTGATAGAGGATATTATCGTCGAACTGTCAATTTCCAATTGGGATTTGTACGTTTTTGGATCAACTTGGCAGTCTCGGCAAGACGAGAACGTATATTATTATTTTCGTATTGGAGAGCCTGAATTCTTAACTGATATTTGTAAATGCATGTGAGCAAATTTTTTACATAACTGAGCAGGGGACGAACAATACAACAAGATCAAAACTTTATTAACTCCTCTGTCATCTTTTCTTAAACTACAGTTCAATTGTTTCTTCGCTTGTTGTATTTTAATCTATAATCAATCATAGCAGTTCAATATCTAGTCGAATTTATATATGATACAGGTATAGGTCTTCTCGGATGCTTCTCTTCGCTACTTACAACTTGTGTGCGAAACTTGCTGACAACGAGTCGTATGGTAGCCTCATACTCTTCTGCTGTCTCTGTCAAGCTCGAATTCTCACTAATCAACTTTTGATTCTCACACGCCAATTGAACATTTTCCACGTCAAGAGGAGCTGATGTGTCTGTTAATGGTGGGACTGCGAAAGAGGGAGAGAGATGTTGAGCAGCTTATAATGGTATTAAGAGATAAATCCAGTAAACAGAATGAATAGGAAATGGATCACGAGAAAACGATTACGTTTGTTATCCGTTCAAATTAATGGAAACCTTGTATTGACTGGCTTGTTGCTGAATAAAAAAGATAAAAGAAAACGATTCCGAATTTTGTAAGCATAAAAAAACACCTACTATAAGGTGCCGGGAAAAGATGTTAATAGATTTCGATTACGAATAGTTTCATTACCTTCAGTTCTTCGATATCATTGACCAAGGATTCCATGTTCTCTCTATTTTGCCAATTCATTTGACAGTTGACCGGCCGATTCAGTATTATTAGCCTCTAGCGTCATTGTTTGCATGCACGTCGGGTAAAGAGTCGAAATTCTTGTCTAATGCACAGTGACGATCTTGCCGATAATGGATTTCAGTGAACTGCATTCAAGCACGCCCTCGGAGAGCGTATGAATAGAGGTCAGCATTTTATTGGTTGCATGTGATTATAACAAAATTTATTGAATCGTAATAGTAAAACAAATGTTACTGCTGATTAAAAAACTCATCTACTGTCGTTTGTTTCATCGATTTTAAACTGATATAACGATCTATTGCGTTAATATTAATATGCTTTAATAATTTATTAGAATCTTCCTGCTGTTGTAGAAAGGAACGAACAATCTCTAAACTGCTTGCAGCATCACTGCAATTTACAATCGGTAATTCAACACTATCGTCAACTTCACTATCATCAGCGACATGCACCTCTGACGGTTTTTTGTATACCTCAACAAGGTGTTCAATAACTTTGTCACTATCAGGCACTTCATAAACCTTATTTTCCTCTGAATTATTTAAAAACTCATCAGGACTCATGCTATCAGCTAAGTTTAGATTTGTAATAATTTGTGTGAGCTCACTAACTACTGTAGTTGGTGAATCGTTGTAAGGAAGCTCAGATAACGATTTCAGTTAATTCAAGCACGACAACAAAGATAACTTCTACTATTAACAAAGACAAAATGAATTTCGTAACTGATTCAAGCATGACAACTTCTACCATTAACAAAGACATTAAATAGTGTTTACATCTAATTCATGTTTCATTTAGAAGTCGATAAAGATCTCTGCAATGCATATTAATATTAATGTAACACGGATTAATATTAATGTAACACGTATTAATATTAATATTGTTTTAGTGTATAAACTGATCATCATAATGTTGTGTCTGAGTTCAGGACCTGTCTCCCCAGTCACTCAGTCCAGAACTCAGTCGTCTCAGTTCAGAATCCAGACACTCAGTCCAGAACTGAGACAGGTCCCCAACTGAGGTACAACAATAACATTGAGCGAATGTAATTTACGATTGTGTATAGTAATATTCACCAAGACATATCATTTATTGGTAGCAGGAGTTATTATGCACAGATCAGAAAAATTTAAAAATAGACAGCAACACTGAATTGCTTAAGGATTAGAATGGCTCTATAAATGGTGATTGAATTGCTTTGCAAGGTTCAAAAATCCACCCTTGCTTTAGTAAGAGTCGCAAGTGTCCCTTTTTCAATTACTAAAAAAGAGATCTAGTATACTTTGATAATTTTTTCAGGTGTCTGCACATTCTGTCAAACATGTAAAACGAGAACAAGACACTGTACACTTTTTTGTAAAGCTGAGAAAGACAAATTAAAAATAAAAACCACCCCTAGCTAGAAACTTATAATTATCTTTTTTTTTTGTGTCAACTTTAGTCCCTCCATACGGCAGGACCTAACAAACTTGCGTTAAAACTGAGGACCATGCTGTAGTTGTTTTATGCTAGGCGCATAAAGGTTAATATTAAACGCAAAGAGAGAATACTATTTTAGAAATACTAGTCGTATCAAAAAATTGTGGAAACTGAAAACGTCCCCGGCGTAATATTAATCTATACAATAAGTTACTATAATGGCATACGTTATTACTTTAGTTACTGTTGTAACACACTTGACACAAGTCATAAATAATTCTTACTTGCTTTTTTGCTTGCTCTATTCTGTTAGGAAACCAGGCAATGGGTTGGTGGTGGTTTGTACAAAAGCAAAGGCAAATGGTCTAAATGAGCATGATTTTTTATAAATGAAGTTTTAGAGGGCAAATTGTAAAATAGTTCCATCTTGAGCAGAGGATGTTGGTATTTATGACGAAAGTAGAGACAAATAGTCTAGATGAGTTAATTTCTTGTGAAATTTTAGAGACAAACAAGGGAGAGGCACATTGCATAATATCTCGGTGAGTTGACGAGTGTGGGCTGTCGTCAACCCCCGCGTTCTTATAGGATTATTTACAATGAATTAATAATCTCCCATTGTGTTTACGAAATCAGTCATACTGTTTACACGATAGATTAACTCAGCAAATACTATTGGATTCGGGTATCCTACCGAGTCGTGTATAGTCGAGTTTCCCCAATTCTTCTTCTCTGTCTTGTCCAGATTGGGACTAGCAGTCTCACCTGAAACAATGCTTGCACTACGATACTGCATAATATAACAAGCTATTGAATTTCTCCCCACATTGACCAATCGTTATAGCAATTGGCGCACATGAGACCAATTATGGCCTAGTCTGTAACTTTAATCATGATAAATCGATACTCTAGACGCCCCCCTATTAATAGTTCGATAGCGGGCCTGTCAACCAGACAACACTCACTCGTTTCCAGGAATATATGCACTAGTAATGCCATTAAAGAATTAATATATGGCTTCTTTCTTTCTATCTGTATGAATCATAATAACAGGTTTCCCAACGGATAGACCTTTGACAGTAAGATTTTTTTTATCGCGACAATCTAATCCAATCTAACAGAAACAGAAGCAATGCCACTATACGGATATAGTAGAATCATGTTTGCTTTGTATGCATGAACGCCTAACTATTTGTGGAACTTTGTGTTATTGGTGAAATATATCGTTCAACATAATACAGTAACGAAATTAATAGATTAGTCAATTTTTGAAGTCGACAAGTATGGATAATATCAACGATTATTAACACTAGTTAATGTGTCCTTTTTTGTTTCTAAAGCATCCCGTTTGACCGACGAGCGATCGATATTCCACAAAAGAATTTGCACCAGTAGAACAACTTCTGTAAGTAGATAAGAAAAAGACAAAATTATTTTATATAGCATGTCATGGATACATTAAGGTATCTAGGCAAGGTAAAGCACGTTCAATTATTAAGATTATACAAAGAATAACAGTGTCATCGTTTCTGACGAACATTTGTAGAATGTGAGTACAATAAGCACGAGAAATTAGAACAGGAAACACATGAGAATTGAGCGTAATTTTCTTCATAGCGTAAACGTAACCGTTTTTGAAATGCATTGGAAGAACACCGGCATTTAGTGTTTGAAGAATCATAAGTTGAGCAAATTAAAATATCATTAGAGAATGCAAACTAATAATAGTAAGATTTGGACTTTCTGCGACTAGTCATCTACTGCATCACAAAAATATCGTATCTGGGCAAGAGACGCAAAAGGTTGCATGGCATGCAAACCTTGTGGACGAGTAGTATTCACTTACTCACATCCTTATTCTCATTGTAACTTTTCTCTTAAAAGTAATCAGCGCGTGACTATTTAACGTCATACAAAACCATCAAGGTTTCAACTCAATTCGGTGATTCAGCCTAACGTATACCTTGCAATATGCAACATCTGCAATAATAACCAAATTTTGTACAATTCGTGCAAACGATTGATCCCGTATGTTTCAGCTTTTCAAATTCTTAACGAGGTTTTCTTTATCAGGCTACTTCGCACGTTGGTACCAAATGTCATACAGATGGCAATTAAACCCGTAATTCTCCATAGTTACCATGAAGTTTGGAATGGTCAAATGACAGTCGATCCATACAATAATGGTACATATTACTAATATAAAGACGATCAGTGCAAGTGGGATATTTATGATGATATCAACATGACCTATGTAGTACGGTAAGTGTCATTAGTCCTAGAACTAATATGTTATCTCATTATGTCGTCATTAACGTAGGAACTTGACTGATTTTGTAAAATCCCTTCAAAAAATCCACTAATAGAATAAAAATCATAACATTGATTTGGTCAAGAGTGGCTTACGTATCTGGTTGCTTCTATCTTTTCCATCAGTATTCTTCACGTGAATTCTGCCCCGCGCTGAATATCCGTAACTGTGGGGTTTGCCTTTACTGGCTGGTGATTGCCATATTAACATACCCATCAGGAAAGTAAAAAAAGGGGCCAGTGTTTTGAGCTAGTCTTAATTTATAACCTCCATAGTATGAAAGAGCTACAAATAAAGACAAAGTAATTGTCCAAGACTAAATTGAATTAATAGTAATGGAGAAGGTTAAATTTATCAAACAGCAATTATTTTCGAGCGTCATTATTAAGTTTGGGAAGAACGAATTATTTATGCTGCATATGTGAACTTTATTTAAAATTTGATGTGATCATTTTAAGAATATTCCTATGGCTTCTTATTCCCTCACAATCAATAATCCTAAACGCTGAAAACTCATATGTTGGAGCTCAAGACGACGAAAGGCTGTGCTCGTAAGATATTTGTCAAAGTTTTCCGTGTGACCCAAGTTAACCAATTGAATTACGTATTCTGAAAAAGCAAACTAATGAATGCCCATAAAAAGCAATCTTCAATGAGAGTACATGTCAACAAAAACGCACACTTGCTCTCACGCTTGGAGGCACAGCGCACAGCTAAGAATCGAATCAACGATAGTAATAATTAAACGATAGCAACCGCAACAACAGTTGCGACTACTATGTCATCTTCAACATCTTGTCACGTTGTGGTAGGACAATGGGCAATCTGTGCATTGTGATACTTGTTATGTAATTAACCAAATTAATTGCCAAATTTCCGTTCCTAGCATACAATTCAGACGAAATATATGGATTGACTATGATATTAATATGCGGTAATCTATAACATTGTTTTACATTATTGAGCTTATTATTGGTCACGATAGTGGATGACAAAATTTTTGACTGATAACATTTACCCCAAAGCGTTTGTCCTTCCTCCAAGTTGCCGGAAAATGGATAGATTTATAAGCTCCCATTTTTTCACACGTTTTTCCGAATCCTTCATGCGGTATCCATAATGAATGGTAATGATGACATTAAGATTGTAATTGATACCCCGCAAGGACCACCGCCACCACCTAAGCATGTAGATGCATGCACATTCTCACCAAATGGAAGTCATCTGGCGACATTTTCTGCAA